TTTATATTTAGGACCAAAATTAACTTAAGAATTAGGTCCTATATTAAAAACTGGAGAGTAAGAGATTTTTTCCAGTTTTTAGGAAAATTTATTTTTAATTTAACCCGGATTAGAAGGAGTAAGAGCCCGTGAGGAAAAAATCCAAAAGCTATATAAAAAAAAAAACGTAACCAATTTTAACACCCTAACCAAAGGTTTTAGCCAATTTAGTGCTTGTTGGAACTGTTTATGATAAATATGTATAAGCATGCTCGAGTTAATTAAGATAAAATTTTATTCACAGATTTTCGTGTTTTTTACGATTAAGAAGATGTTTTTGAAGGATCTTATCATTGTCCCTGACAAACACTGGATTGTAGTACAAATGAGCACGTGTCTAATTGGGATAAACATGAATTATACCAAATTCTCCTCTCCGCAACCCAAAGTCACAGGAGGTTAATTACTATCCCCATTTTAAATAAAATTTTATTTAATTTTATTTTAATCTTAAATATAAGATCCCAATCTAATTTTTCTTTCATATTTATATATTTTTTCTAAGGTAATTTTTTTAATAATAGTAGTTTTAACCAGTACACTTGATTAGTAAGAATATTTTTAAAAAATAATACTTATTTATTACAAATAACTAACTTAACTTATTTTTTAATCCCTTCAAATTAGTCAATTAATTCTTATAATTAGAAGCAAGGGTAGTAATTATCAATAGGGTTGTTCACGAGATGGATCGAGATCGGGACAGGCCTATCACAATTCCGTCCCCTTGAACAGTAACGGGATAACAAAATTGTCTCTTGTCCTGTCCCGTCCTGGTATTGTCCTGGTCCTAGTCGGGATGGGACCGGAACATCCTGATATTTTTTATTATTTTTCTGAGTTGTTGGGCATAATAAAATCTGATTTTTTTTCTAATTGTATTTTTTTGGACTTAACCCCTGTAAAAACGTCTTTCTGTTTTATTTTTAAATTTCTTTAGACACCCTTAAACAAAAACCCAAAATATTATAAATAATAGTCATTAAAAACTCTAAATAAAAGTTTGGAACACAATAAAAACTTGTTGAAAATTCTAGTCATCAATAGTCTCAAATCATCAACAAATATAAAAGTTATAAATGAATAGGTCTATAGTTTCATATAATAGTTTTAAATCTTAAAAAAATATGAAAAAAATTATATTATATCAATATGATAAAAAAATAAAAGGAACAGGGACGGGATCATCCTGTCCTGTATCCTGTCTTGTCCTGTCCCAGTTTTTTTTTTTGTCTTTGTCCTGGTTTATCTCATTTTAAAAAATTTCAGGACGGATCTGTCTTATCGCAATAAAACCGAAACCGGAACAGGCCGATTAGAACGGATCAGTATTGAACACTCCGGATTATCATGAATCAAACAAAGCGTGCTACAGATTAGTCACCAGGTGCCACCTTCATCTTTTTCAAATGCCATCTGGGGAAGCAGAGTGTAGATGAGACAACCGGGCCAGTAATATGCGGGGGAATGGAATTTTGGTGACCCTTGAAATCCGACGCAGTGTGTGCCATGTGGCACGAGTGGGCCCATCCCATCACCTAATCAAGTAAAGGAGGCTGGCCTTTTTTTTGACTGAAAGGAGGCTAACTGGATTTAGGGGCGTTTGGTTTGACTCAAAACACTTTTAAAAGGCAATCTTATAAAAGCAATATAATTTTTATCGCATAGTTATTTTATATATTATAAAATTATTTTTAAAATTGTAATTTATTTTTATCCAAACACTTTATTAATTTGATTTTAAATTTAAATTTCCCTTCCTGCAAAAATAATTCGAAGGCCATATATGTATTTTGAAATGTTGTTTGGCATTTTGATAAATAAAATATTAAAAAGTAACGTCTACATAAATTTTTTTAAGAGATTAATTAATTTCTGGATTTGCATGGTCCTTGGCTAATCAAATACCGATTACTTTGAAAACGGATCAAATTTATTTGCACACTCACAATTTAGTGGCCAGCGACAAAGATTTAAAAATAAAGAAAAGGGGAGGCGAGCCGAGGGAGATGCGAAAGCCAACTAGGACTACTTCACCTTTCAATAATATAATACTCTTTCGGTTTTCAACATAAAATTTATTTAATTAATCTGATTACATTACAAAAGTTACATAAATTAGTTAGTTATAAGATATATGATATGTTTTTGTTAAAACATGTAGGAAAAACTAATTTGCAGGTTCTTGTAATTTGCATCAATTTTGAATCACCTCCCTATAGTTTATTTCTTTTGAATCAAACCCTTATACTTTAATTTGTTAAGTCCATCCATCTCTGAGGGTCTAAACTGTTATAAATTTTACTGAATTGGAAGCTGACTGAGCTAACACATACATAGACAAATAAACATGACATGGCAGCTAGGTGGTGTTGAGAGTCTATAGCCACCTCATCTTCATCTCATCCTTTGACTTCCTAAGCACATTTGTTGGTAGGAGGAAGGAAAATCCCTCTCAATCCCCACACCTGCTAGTGAATAGTTTCAAATGAGAGTGGAGAGTTAACATCTGGTTTCTTCAAGCTATTCAAGTTTCTAGGCAAAATTGGCCATGATAAGTATGGGGTTGGCCTTCCATCTCCCCCCCCCCCAAAAAAAAATTTCATCAGGTTCTTCAAATTTCCTCATATTGAAGTGGAAGGGTTGTTGGGAGTAGGAAAAAAACTACAACTGGATATCATAATGTAGGAGGATGAAAGTGGGCAATATACATATACTGTTCAAAATAAAACTTTTATTTATTGAATCGAAATGAATTGTGACTTTAAAATGGAGAAAATACTTGAAAGGTCTAAGTCGCTGATCAGAATCTTACCTGGCAATAAAAACTCAACATATGGGTTTTTATTGTATAAGATTTTTTTTCCCTAATGAAGTTGAAATACGAGAAGAAGTATGAAATATAGAAGGTACCGACGATGATGGCAGGGAAGGCATGTCCATGAATCAAACATTGGGTATTGGTGATCTAGTGGATGTAGTGATCAACAGAAATTTATCTTTCCTTGGTTGAGAGTGATTATTCTTCTTGCTATTAGCGGCTGTGCTCATGAACCTAGGATGAGATGAAAACGAGGTCACATGATGACCGGTGAAGACTCTGAACATTGGGAATTAATCCACCTGGCAGCCAAATCACATTATTATGTTTACGTGTCAGCTCGATCAACCTCCAGCTCATTAAAATTAACAATGTTATAATAGTTTAGACTTTGAGGGATAGATGGACTTATCAGATTAAAGTATAAGGACCAGATTCAAAAGAAATAAACTATAAGGACCTAATTTGAAATTGATATAAATTATAAGGACCTGCAAATTAGTTTTTCTAAACACTGTAATTATATTTTTTAATAGCCTCTTTCTCTTATTTAATTATGATTAAAAAATACTATTAAAAATAATTTTAAAAAAATAAATACCAGAAGCACGTGGGCCACTTTTTTTGCACATTTGCCAGGGCCTACCAGGCACCTAGTCACCGTCCCTCGCTGCGGTCCATCAACCACTACACGACAAAGGCGTCCCTCCCAAGTCCCAATTCCACTCGCTGCAGATTGACCCTCTCAATTCTTATTACTACCTCCTGTCCTAATTATAAGACCCAATTAACTAATTTAAAGAGATTAAAAAAATAAGTTAAGTTAGTTATTTGTAATAAATAAGTGTTGTCATTCCTAAAATATCCTTACTAATTAAGTGTATTGGCTAAAACTATCATTATTAGAAGGACTATCTTGGAAAAAAATGTATAAATATGAGAGACAAAATGGATTGGCGTTTTATAATTAGGACTAAACAAAAAATCAAACGAGGTCTTATATTAAAAACAGGAGGTAGTATTAAAAAATAAATAATACTCCTCCGGTCCTTATTATAAGACCCAATTTGACTTTTTATTTGATCCTAATTATAAGACCCAATCCATTTTCTCTCTTATATTTATGCATTTTTTTCCAAGATAATCCTTCTAATATGATAGTTTTAGCCAATATACTTAATTAGCAAGGATATTTTAGGAATAACAATACTTATTTATTATAAATAACCAATTTAACTTACTTCCTTAATCTCTTCAAATAAGTCAATGAGTCTTATAATTAAGATCGGAGGAGTATATATCATCGTAATTATTTATCGCTAAAGGACCCTGCTATGCTGGCCCATGAATTGTGTTTCTCATATCGATATTCCATCCCTGTGCACTTGATTTACGAATATGGTTCAGTAGACGCTCCTCCATGATACGGGCAAATGACATTTGAGAGCTTCTTAAATTTTTTTAATTATAGTCATATTTTTGGAATTTGAACTTTAACAAATGTGAGAAGGAAAAGGGCAAAAAAGTCCTTTTATTCCCTAACTTATGTTTTTCTACTAACTATATTTTAAAAAAACTTTAACATGCAAACTTTAACATGCACTTTTGATTTTTTTTTTCTGGGAGTTATTCTTATATAAAATGGGCATTGAAAAAATCAACATAGTTTTATGTTTTGATTAAAATTATCACCTTACACTGTTTAAATATTAAACATATTTAAATGGATGTGGCTGATTGCACACCGCTTTAATTAGTTTAATATCAAAATAAGTATAATTGATTTGTTATAATTTTTTTAATTATATTACGAGGACTTGAGTTTTTATTATCATCAAAATTAGTTAAAATAAGTGAATAATAACAACTCAATTGTAAATTTATTTTCTGGTAAAACATTGTAAATTTATTTATTGTATGCACACCCAGAGAGCAAGCGTTGTACGCGCTCGTGGGTACATGGTGACCCCCAACATGACTCGTGCATGTATCTGACGATCACTGAGACGAAGCTAATCCGGATTCTTATCACATCACAACTCACGATTAGTCAATGACAGGCCGCCAGCGCAATTAGACGATTTAGCCCCTTGCTGCTGCGACAAGGAGTATAAATGAGCGGGTTCACCTGATTTCCTTTCACTCCCAAACCCTTCTCTTCTATTATTTCCGCATTTCCACTCCCAAATTGAGATGGCGATGAAACGTGCTGTTTCCTCTGCGGTTCGATCGCTTGCTTCTTCCTCTTCGATCTTTTCGACTTCACTCTCCTCACCCGCTCTCGCCAGGCACCTTCATGTAATTCCATTCTTCATAGCGCTCTATATGATTGTTCAACTTTTTAGTTGCCGCTTTCAGTTTAATTCGGTCGATTGAGCCTTTCGTTTTCATTTTTTGTTTGTTTTCTGTCGAAAATCCTCACGAATTTGTAATTTCTATGGGTGGGTTTCATAGTTATACTTGCATGGGTTGTTCAAGGGAAGGGTAATCCCGACGATGGATGACGTAATTGTACATGCAGACCGTCTCGTCTTGATGTGGTTTGGGTCATGTGGTTGATCCATTCCCAGGTCATGGCAGGGTTCACCATTCATCCGCAGGGATCGCCTTGGCTCCCGGAGTTGCCCGCCACTCGTGGTCACAAGTACCATGTTTTCGGCGATCCTCCAGTCTTCCTCTGCATATTTTTGCAGTAATTTTTTTCTGTATTTTTTTCTTATGGGCTTGGGGCTGGTATGGGCTTCACGACTGATGATTCGTAACGACTTAGGCCCATTATAACTCATTCTAATGCTTTGAATTTCTATTCATAATTTTCGCCCGAAAACAAAAAAGAGATAATCGGAAGAATCATTTGAGATGGTCTCTGCTTTTGATTTCTTGACTCTTGGGTCAAGCTGATTTGTTTTCTTCCTTTTCTTTTGAGGATAGGCTACTGGTGGAAGCAAGAAAATCGTTGGGGTTTTCTACAAAGCCAATGAGTACGCTTCCCTGAATCCCAATTTCGTGGGTTGTGTTGAAGGAGCCTTGGGTATACGTGGATGGTTGGAATCACAAGGTCATCAGTACATTGTCACAGATGACAAAGAAGGACCTGACTGCGGTTAGTCTTCTCCCAAACTCCGAAAATTCACTCGTTGAAACATTTTCAATTTTTTTTAATAACTAAATGAGGCAGTCGTTTTCCCCACTCTGTGCTTGTGAAAGCATAAGCAGCAGTTAAGTTTGTTCGAGTTGCTGCGATGAATATAAACGTTGAAGCTCTTCATTTGCAAGTGAATAGACTTCTAAACCAGTATCACTTACTGATTATCGATTAGACTCTACCCATTTTACAGAACTCTTTTTCCTACAGATTGTACATTAGTCTTAACAAATATTCATAACTTTTATCAGCATTTTAAGAAAAATGCTCAATTGAAAGTGACATCTAGAACAGTGAGATTCATTTACTTGCTTGTGTGTGTCTTTACTCCTGAAAGTTTCAGGAAAAGCAGTTTCGGCTGAGCTCCTTTTAGTAGAAAAATAATTTCCAATTTATTTCCTATCTGCAGTGTTTGGAAGATCAGCCACTTTATTAGAATCAATTGCATTTCAAGACAAATAACCACTTCTAGGAGCAGAATTAGAAGACTTTTTGTTGAATGAACTTGCATGGAATTTTTCCAATAATGTTTGTTGCATTTATTTATGGTTCTTTTAATTACTTAATGTGTTTTTTGTTGGGTGTTCTTATTTTTACCGAGAACTGCAATTCACCAACTCATGAAGAATTTCCTCTTTCCTTGGTTTATTGTATTTTCTTCTTAATTTTTATGATTGCTTGAACTTATCGATTTATTTTTTTAATTCTTTTTCAGAACTTGAGAAACACATTCCTGATCTCCACGTGCTCATATCCACTCCATTTCATCCAGCATATGTCACTGCAGAAAGAATAAAGAAAGCTAAAAATCTTGAACTGCTATTAACAGCTGGAATCGGTTCCGATCACATTGATCTTAATGCTGCCGCAGCTGCTGGATTGACTGTGGCTGAGGTTACAGGAAGCAATGTAGTGTCAGTTGCAGAGGATGAACTCATGCGAATCCTGATTCTAGTGAGGAATTTCGTACCTGGGTATCATCAGGCTGCTAATGGGGAATGGAATGTTGCTGGCATTGCTCATAGAGCATATGATCTCGAAGGGAAGACTATTGGGACTATTGGTGCCGGCCGAATTGGCAGGCTTTTGCTGCAAAGATTGAAGCCTTTTAACTGTAATCTTCTCTATCATGACCGGCTTAAGATGGATCCTGAATTGGAGAAACAAACTGGGGCTAAGTACGAGGAGGACCTTGATGCTCTGCTGCCCAAATGTGATGTAATTGTTATCAACACACCTCTGACTGATAAGACAAGGTATGGTCTGTACATCTAGCGTGGTTGAGTACCAATTCAGCGGATACCGTTGAGCACTTAAAGAATCGTTTATATGTTATTTGTTTTGTATAGTGATTCATCAGGACAGACTAAACAAGGGAGTTGAGACTAGTCCAAAATAAGAGGCAATTCTGTTCTGATGTATATGCTTCAAGCATGAAGAATGGTTTCGATCATCTTTATTTCTAACCAAAACTTGGCTTCTGACTTAGGGGATTGTTTGATAAAAATAGAATTGCTAAGTGCAAGAAGGGCGTCTTGATTGTAAACAATGCCCGTGGGGCAATCATGGACACCCAAGCAGTTGCAGATGCTTGCTCTAGTGGGCACATTGCAGGTAATTTTGAAACCACCAACCAAATATTGGTGCCTTTTTAGCAAAAAATGAAATCGTTGCTGCCAATGTACGGTCTAAATTTTATGTTACGTGCTTGTGGTGGATTTTTTTGTCTAGAATTTCATGAATGTTTTAGAAACATCCATTGAAATAACCCTACATCATCATGGCTTCAAAAAGTTGTGATTTAATTCCCATAAAACATCTTGCGCTTTATGCCATTTTTTGGGACATCCTGTGTCTTGGGTATCAAGTGACAAAAGAGATACGGGCTTGTGTTTTAAACTGATTACTGTCGTTAGACTGACAAGTGGCGTGAGACTGATGCCATCTCCCCAACTAGCTAACTGCTTTCCTTAACTGTTTTGAACGACGTTGACCACTGCAGGTTACAGTGGTGATGTTTGGTTCCCGCAACCGGCTCCAAAGGATCACCCATGGCGTCACATGCCAAACCATGCCATGACTCCGCATATATCCGGAACCACAATAGATGCACAGGTACTCCCAGTTCTGATTCATATGCTTGCTTTCTTGTGTGCTTCAGATCTTGCGTCTTTTGCTGATGAAGTAATGATAATGAATCTTGTCTAGTTACGATATGCTGCTGGGGTCAAAGACATGCTCGATAGGTACTTCAAGGGTGAAGAATTCCCAGCACAAAACTACATTGTCAAGGAGGGTCAATTGGCTAGCCAATACCGCTGAGCTAAAACTTGTGCGGGTGTGAAAGTCTTCCGTTGTTGATTTGATTTGATGATCACTTAACAGTTGGGAAGGCACTCAAATAATTAATCATGTCTAAGAGTTTGAATTGTGGAATTTGATTCAGAAATAAAGCTGTGGTGAGTGGAGTTTATGTCTTGGTATCTTTCACGTGTGATTCGAATATGAAGGTTCTGCTCGTGAAGATTTACATGAATTTTTAAACAAAGCCACCGAAGGTCCTGTTAGTTGTCTTTGTTTATCACCACCCCCGCCCCACCAAAATGGTAGTTAAGTGATTGACAGGAGACGAAAATTAGCGGGGGAAAAGTTACATTTAATCGTTTAAACTTTTTAATATTAAGTTTAATGACTATGCAAAGATCTGTCCTTTTGTTGTAGAATGAATTAATTGACGCATGTTTAATAAAGTTGCGATGGATAGCAAGGCGCACGGCTGGCAGCCTGGCACAATCTCCTCATAATAATAATGTTAACATGAATCGGGCCTTACAAATCTTAGGGACATTGTTTGATATTCATATTTTTATAAATTATTTTTTTGCATCATATTAATAAAAAAATTGAAGTTTCAATTGTAATTTATTTAATTCGTACAAATTTTTTACATTAACAGATAACTTTTAATTATCTATCAGAGATAATCTTATAACTAAATAACCATAATACTTTTCTTTAAGAATATATTAAGATATTTATCTAATAAAATTATCAAAATATTCTTTTTTATTTTATTTCTAACATCATTCTTTTAGGAAAATTGATAATGATAAAACGTAAGGAGTGAAGAATATGGCTATAAGTTATTCCTTTGTCCTGGAATGGTTACTCATTTCATGGCATTTCAAAAATCACGAAAATCTTTCATAAAACTATTAAAATAAACATTTTAAAAAAAAAAAAAAAGGCCAAACATGGACAGCCTTTTTTTTTTTTTTTCGTTTTTCAATTTCTTTCCGTCGGGTATGGTTTTGCTTTTGTAGCAACCCAGCGAGGCCTAAAAGATAATAAAACTAGAAATTTGGGACCAAAGGGAGAATAGGCCCCGAATTAGTAAAAAATGGAAACGCCAAAGTCGCGGAGAGCGGGAACCGCATTCTCAATTTTTAGTTGAGCTAATTAATAATTAATTATACTTTTTATTTAATTAGTTTAATTTTTAATTTGATTTAAATATAAAATTTAATCTATTTTATTTTTATATTTATCAATTTTTTAAGATATTATTGTAGTAATTGTATATATTAAATATTTTATCAAATGATAGTTGATTAATAGTGGTATTTTAAGAAAACAACACTTATTTATTATAAATAACTAACTTAACTAATTTTTTTAGTCTATTCAAATTAATCAACTAACTCTTATATTAAGGATCAGAAGAAGTAGTATAAAAGCTCGTTTGACTTTTATTTTTGTTTTAAATATAAATCTCAATCTATTTTGTCTCTCATATTTATTTATTTTTAAGGTAGTCCTGATAATAATAGTAGTTTTAACCAATATACTTAATTAAGTAAAAATATTAAAAAAAACAACACATATTTACTAAAATAATTAATTAATTATTTTTTAATCTATTTAAATTAATTAAGTAGTTTTTATGTCAGAGTACTATTGGTTTGATTGATAATCTTGTTACTTTCTTTCTTCGGAGACTCCAAATACGCTTCGTTGACTTGGCTATTTATTACCAAGAACCATTTATAATTTAAAAAAGAAAAAAGGAATTTGGTCAGGAAAAAAAGAATAAAAAGGGGAATAAATTGTTTTTTTTTTTTTTGACCTGCACGGAAATTATTATTAAAAAAACTATTTACAAACTGTTTGGTCCTAGATTGCTTCCCGTTTCCGAAACTGAAATTTTGCATATCCCATTACTTTCCACTTAATTGCTCAGCCCTTTCCTTTCCTGCAACTCTCCCAGAGTGAAGGGAAGCCATGGGAGCCTGCCTCAACGGCGACGTTTCCTTCTCTCCTTCCCCTGGTCCTCGCCGATTCTCCAAGCACATCCACGATAACGTCCATGGCAACATCTATCTTGATACAGTATTCCCACACTCTGCTCCCCCCCCCCCCCATATTTTCATTTTTCGCTGCTTTCCTTTTAAGGCTTATTCTGCTCTTTTCTTCTTGCAATGCGTTGAAACATGCCTATGAGTTCATTGAAACTTTTTCATCGAAATGGACAGACTAGAAGAGCACGGCTAACCAGTCGACGAAGAATTATAAACCTGTAGCTAGTGAACTTGCTGGACAACCAAATACACCAGTTTCCTATCCTTTTATATTTTTTTAGTTGTGAATTTGATTTGATAAAAAAACAAACAGAAATAGTGTGTTTCAGTGTCTAACTATCTTTTTCCTTTTGCATCGACTCTTCAGTGTTTTTCCTCTTTTGGTCCTAGCGTCTATAAATCATGTTAAGTTATTACGTGATGCTTTTAGCTGCAGAAATTGGATATGTGACGATGTAATCCAGTAACACTTTTTTTTTCTGTTGTCTCTTGTAGCTCAGTTTGAAGTTCATAGACACCGAGCAGTTTCAGAGGCGAGTACGCTTCTTCTTCTTCTCCTCCCCCCCCCCCTCTTTTCAACTCAATTTATGATTTAACTCTCTAACACTGGTTTTTGCGTTTATTTGCTGATTGCTTCTTTTGCATTATTTGCAATGCACGATATTGCCTTGATTCCTTATACACAGGCTTCGTGACCTCAAACAGCTTGGTGAGTTAACTCCCTCCTCCTTTGTCCACTGATATCAAAAGGTGCTATGAAAGCCAGTTTAGAATCGAGATAAACTGGCAAAGCTACCTATTCTAAATTATCTTTTCGAACAGTGTGCAATATTATTTTCCCTCTAATTTTAGAATAAGTAAATGATTTCAAGTAGGTTGATGAGAGGTCTCTTATTATGCTTGTGCATTTTTTCTTTTAAATGAGAAAGATATCACGCATTTGGCTCAACTGTTTTGCAGGCTGGAAAATTGTATTGAAATGCGGATTTCTTTGCTTTGGGATTTGAAAAATGATTTAAGAAATTTGATTAAAGTTTGAACTTTAGTGGGATAAGGCTTGTTGTTGATTAAAGTTTGAACTTGGGGTTCAATAAATGTCACCACAAGAAGTGCAATTTCATTATCATGCCTATTGTCATTCATACTATATATTCTTATGACACCATGGAAAATATGTACGATCTTGACATACCTCTAGCAGGGTTTTCACACTAGTTATTCAAAGACCAAATCAGATAATGGTATTTCAGTCGTTTCCTCTCGAAGACATAATAAATGCAATAGTTTAACTAGTGTAAATTAGTTTATAGGACGGAGGGGGTGGGGAAAGAGAAGACTGGGTTGGTTTCATTTGGTCGCAGCATGTTTTGTGCTTTCCTTGTTGACTTTTAAAGGAAGCTATGCCTTTATGGAAGTTTTTGTTTATGAAATTATTTTTAAAATCACCTCAAACGCTGGCACACTTTAATGGACTCGTGATGTGATTCGATTACCTTTTGAACTTTCAATACTCAGGGTATAAAAACTTTTTTAGCATATGTTCTGTGTTTCAGGTATGACAAATATGGTATATCCAGGGGCTGTGCATTCTCGATTCGAGCATTCTCTTGGTGTTTATTGGCTTGCTGGTGAATCTATAGAAAAGCTTAAAAATTATCAAGTACAGTATTTTATTTGTCATAGATTTTACCTATATAAAGGTACAATGTTGTATTTTGAAGGGTTCTCATGGGTCTGTATTATCCTTGTAGGGCAGGGAGCTTGGCATTGATAAATTCGACATTCAAACAGTAAGGCTGGCAGGTATTGTTACTGTTTTTCTTATGAACTCCTTATGAAACTTAATCCTGTACATCATCTGATTTTTTCATCAATTGTTGTAGGACTTCTGCATGATATTGGCCATGGGCCTTTCAGTCACTTGTTTGAACGCCAGTTTCTTCCCCGGGTTGTCAGCAGTTCTCATTGGTAAACTTCTTTATTGTTCTTATTATTCTGTAATCTTTATTATGAATTTTAAACATATTTTATTTTTCCCACATTTTTTCCTTTGAAATTTATAAAGAATGTTCATTCTGTCTATGCTATTTGTTCTTGTTTTACTGAAATGATTAAAAAGGATATCTGTTCTTTATCTGCTTATTCTTCTGTTACTTTGCGAATGTTATTTATCCATGATGCATCATATTCTGTCCTTTGTAGGTCACATGAGCAAATGTCAGCTAATATGGTTGATTATATGGTTGATGAACACCACATTGATGTTGATCCTGAGATGATAAAAAGAGTGAAGGTATGTTTGGTTAATATAAGTTTCTTTTTCCTGTTATCTATTAGGTATCTTGTCATTTTGATTATTGCTTAAATGTCATTAGGGTGAATTTTTTCCACTTCACCTAGATGGTTATCAGTTATGTAGCTTCCCTGTTTCCTCATGTCCTTTCCCCTTGGCAGGAGATGATACTAGCAAGCTCTGAGTTTGCGCTTCCTAGAGTAAGATTGTTATTCTTTTTCTTCGGATTTTTTATATTCTATTCTCAAGACATAATTGTTGTTTATGAAATTTGGTTGAAGGTTCCCCTCCCCCCTAATTTCACCTTTCATAGATATTTATTAACGACTAATTTTATTTATTTATTTTCCCTCCTTTTATTTAGAGCTCAAGTGAGAAAAGTTTCCTATATGATATTGTTGCAAATGGTCGAAATGGAGTCGATGTGGACAAGTGAGTAAACTGAGTGAACTTAATGGTCAAAAATGCTATACATACATATATATATTTGCATTTGTAGAGTTTGGATTCCGTGCATGTGGATTTATACTCTATTGTAATCTCTTGAGGAAACAATTGATTTGCAGATTTGATTACATTGTCCGTGATAGCCGAGCTTGTGGTCTTGGTTGCAACTTCGAATTTCAGAGGTTAAGCAAAGAACTTCAAGATAACTTTTTCTTTATCATCTTTTTCTTTTTAAGTGGAAGGAGAAGCAAATACAGATGCCTAGCAACTCAAATTGCTCCACTTGCAGATTATTGGATACTATGCAGGTTTTGGATGATGAGATCTGTTATCGTGCTAAGGAATGTCAGTATTATTTGTACAATTGTACACACTTTTAAACTTCTCCCATTCAAGCTTTACATTTTAATTGTTCCATGCTCTTGGTTGTGCAATTGATTAGATCTTACCATCCACAAGTTATTTACCACTCGTGCTGACCTGCATAGAAGAGTTTACACTCATCCAAAAGTACAGGTACGGACTAGTGAGGCTACTATCTTCCTTGTAAAGATCTACTGGTTGCTTGTTGAGGCGTATATCCTTAAATTTTCTTTTCATTTTTTTCTTTCCCAGACTCAGTTAATTTTATCTCTTGGCTTTACCATTTATAATCTTGTGTTGTTGTTTTCAGGCAACAGAGCTTATGGTGTCCGATGCGCTTGTAGAAGCAAACAAATATTTGGAGATCTCATCTCACATTCTAAATCCTTCTGAGTACTGGAAGGTTCCAAGAGATGATTTCAACTGAATTTAAACTATATTCATAGCATGCGTCTGACCTCTCTCTCTCTCTCTCTCTCTCTCTCTCTCTCTCTTCTCTCCCTTTTTTCAAGTTTAAATGACTTTATTCGGAAATTGCAGTTAGATGACACAATAATTAAAACCATTGAGACATCTCCAAGTAAAGAACTAAAGGAAGCAAGGGAATTGATTCTGCGCATTCGGAGGAGGAATCTGTACCAGGTATGTTTTTGTTGGTTACTTGCTTTTCTTTTCATTTTATCCCTTCTGTGATGGGCGGTTTCATACATGATATTTTTTGTTAGAGTTGTGCTGATGAAGGTCAGGATTTGCCCTTTCATTTTCGCAGTTCTGCAATGAGTATGCCGTACCAAAGGATGAACTAGAGAATTTTAAGAAAGTTACTGCTCAAGACATAGTTTGTTCGCAGGTCCTTGAATTTATCATGTGAACCATCAAATTTACAAAGACTTTTGTTTCTTGCCAAGACTCCGTATTAATATCATATAATTTCATCTGATAGAATAATGGGGGAGTCACACTGAAAGAGGAGGATGTAGCTGTCTGTAATGTCAGGATTGATTTGACTCGTGGCAAGCACAATCCACTTGAAAGGTATTCAATTAAGAGTGAACTTGCATGCTGGTTTTAGATTGCAGGTGTTTTATTATACTTTTTATCAGATGCTAAATATAATTTATTCTTCGTTTTGGTGCTTGTTTCTTTGGCAGCATCAACTTTTTCAAGGTACGTGAATGAACTCTACTATCTTTTATCAAAGATATTTCATCTTGATTGCCGGACTTTAAGTTACGGTCTAGGGCATTCTTGTAAGCACACAGTTGTATAATTGAAATTGTGAGTTGATTTGACGTTCAACAACCAAGTTGCATGGTATTGTTCCATGATGATTGAAGGCGTTTTGAGTCAAAATAACTTTTACGGAGAATTCTGCTGATACTCCTGGAGAAGCTGTTTAGTTGCAATCTTCTGGTATGGGTGGTGTTGTGTTAAACAATTTAACAATATGTTAGACCTGATATCACTTCATGCAAAGAATTTTGCCAGAAAAGGGGGGAAAAATATTTGAGTGAAATTCTGTGTGTGGAACCTATGTACCATGAAAGGAAAACCTTTGAGTTATGAACCCAGAATCTGGTTTTTTTTTTTTCCCTTCGTTTCTATCTAGCATATTTACACGTTTGCTAATTTATTCAGGATTATGAAAGTAAGGAGAAATTTACAATTCCCGATGATCGTATAAGCCACTTGCTGCCTGTATGTTATGAAGACATGATAGTAAGGGTGTACTCCAAAAGGCCAGAATTGGTTAGTGAAGTTAGATGCCGCTGAAACCTTCATAGTATCTTGGCGTAGCTTCAGTTCAGCTTTTACTTACCTTCTATTTTTGTCCCAATGTAAAATTGTATAGGTGGAAGTAATTTCAGAGGCTTTCGAGAATTTTCAGTTGAAAACATACGGGATTAAACCACAAGTGCATTCAACACCAGACAAGAAAAAGCGCCGTTATAATACGTGGATATGATGGCGTTTGTATTTCACTTTATAGGCACCTCTTGCTCTCCTCTATAAGTATGCAGGTATTTCTAGTCAGTTTCCCACAGAGTGAGCTGCATATATAAGATTTAACACGCTGCTAAAATGACTTGAGCGTTTCTGACACTGTGGGGGGGTCTGGTCCGAATTTCCCCGTATCAAATATAAATCTACATGTATAGCAATAGCGGTTGATTTCCTTGACGGTAATGAATGAATGGGCTTGTTATGCTCACCCTTTTGGACCTAAACCCACTCCACTTCTTCTGAGCCCTGTGAGTAGCTGGCCCACTGGTCCCTTTGAATTAATTCGGGATTAGCTCATGAGCGTGCTAGTATGATACTATGGGGTAACAGTAACAGTAACAGGAAGCCTGGGGGGCTGTTTGCTTGTGTGGGGAATTCCGAAAGTCAAGGCTCTCTGTCTCTGACATCACGGGTGTAAAATGTGGAGTTTTATAGCGTTGGAGTTTTGGAGATGAAGGCGGCCTCGTGAGTGGGGAAGCGTAGGGAGACATCTTTTTAGCGCCGCATTAAAGTAAGGAAGGATAGTGGCCTGTTATCATATCAGAAGCCACAAAAGCATTTCACGGGCACGTCCCCCTCGCCTTCAACTCGCTCCTTCTTTTTCCCCTCCCGCGTTGCGTGCCCCTTTTTCTAACCCCCTCGCTGCCCAATCATCATCTCAAACCTTCTCAAGTCCTAGCCCAGAGGCTTGAATTGTCTGAAAACTCAGGGATCATTGCCAATGCCAGCTTGTAACACTAGGGTCCTTCCGGCGGCTTGGACAAAAAAAAAAAGGGAAAAAGGTCCTTCCGGCAGCACCGGCCCGCCCTTTTAACCCCCCCTCGCTTCTCTTCCTAAAATTATCCTCCAATTTGGATGAATCGATTTTTTTTTCCCCCGCTGGATTGAATGAACTGAACTTCAATTAAATATATATATATAATTGCAACGGCTACTTTCCTTCAAGATTCCTTGTTGCGTGTAAGATCAATTTATATTTGAACTCCTTGGGTCCACCGCCATATATCAATATAAAATGTTAAAAAGGTTTAGGAAACATTAATCAGTAGTTACCATTGCCATTTTTCTTCTGTTGCAGTCAAGAGTTTGATCTATCTTGGCATCAAAAATGTTATTTATCTTGAATTTTATGTGAATATATGGGAAGCACGTTTAAATTTTAACTTTATTAATCAACTATATTTTATGTTCATCAAGTATGGAGTCGTTTATATATATACGCACATGCACTCCTCTGGGTTTTAATGCAAAAATTACTTAACTAATTTGTGTACATTAAGATAGTTAAATAATTTAATTCTAGTTAATGTGAAGTAGAAGTATTGGTGAGAAAGCTTGGTTACCCCTTTCCGCTTTAATAAACACAACAGTTTGCAATTGCATGTATGTAAGTGTATTTAAATAATAAAACCCAAAATTTTTTTTGATAATTAATACTTATTTTAAAAAGCAATGTATTACTCATTTATATTGTCACCTCAATCAAATCAAATTAATCTGTTGGAAAATACTATAAAGATCTAATTTTTTGAATGTGTTTGTCCTTTTTTATAAGATGTTTTTTTAGTTTGTCTGAGCATTTAATATATTATTACTCATTTTATCTTTAATTTAATGTATTTAATATTCTCTTTCTATATTTACCTCACTATTATTCTTTCACTTTTGCCTATTTATATAGCGGTATATTTAAAAAAAAAAGATATTTACTACATATTAATTGCTTTTAATTAATTTTAATTATTTTTTTAAACTCCACAATTTAGTTAAAAAGATCTTATAATAAGGGATGGAGAGAATAATTGAGTGAAAATTGCAACGGTAAAGAGATAAACAAACTAAAATTTCCAAAATAAAAGGCAGCTAATCGATGAAAGAGAATAGAGGGAGGATCGAAGAATCTAAAAATGAAGCCTTGTCTTCCCCGCCACCCGTGCTTCTCCTTTCCCGCTATTGATTGATGATTGATACTTGCTTTGGAACGCCTCTCTCCCGAGCTGTGATCTGATCGCTTTCGATGGGTGTAATGCCTTAGTGTTGTTGTTGTTTTTTTTTTTTTTTTTCCCGGCTATGGATTTACTCAAAGAAAGCGTAATTTAGGATTATTAATATTTCTTTTAGCATACTAAGCCAGAGTAAATATTATTTCCGGTCTTTAATATAAGAGCTAATTAACTAATTTGAATAGAGTAAAAAATTAGTTATGTTAATTATTTATAATAAATAGGTATTGTATTTTCTAAAATATCCTTGTTAATCAGGTATATTTGCTAGAACTATCATTATTACTAATAAAAAATAGATAAATACGAGAGATAATAAATTAGAATCTTAAGAATAAAATAAAAATTAAACAAATTTTTATATTAGATAGCGTATGTAGTATTAAAGAAGCGTTATTATGAAACACAGGATTAAGCATGAAGCGGCGTATAAGTGGTTAATAAAAACGCGAAACCCAGTGAGGAAGGACAAGCCTCTTTCTAATCCTAAAAGGACATGGAAAGGTCCATTGACCGTGAATTCCATTAAGGTAATAAAAAAGAGTAACAAACACACAACGCCCAAGAAAGCAGAGCCCTCTGTCTGTGTGTGTGTGTGAGTGAGAGAGAGAGAAAGTCTTCGGTTTCAAACAGAACGTCAGAGGGCGAGTAAAGAAGCGAGGGGCAGACCGAGGCGGGTTCCAGACACACGTCGTGCTCAGGTAAACTCCATGTGCCCACATGTATGACTGTGATTAGAGAGACAGAGAGAGAAGAGTGAGACTCTAACCAGTACTAGCATCCACAGCCACAATTGTACATATTTATGACCTTCACGCCAACACCAACATCGTCCCCCGTGGTATCATAATCAGAAAAGGCATAGAGACAGCTCGGAATTTGCTTACTCGGATCATGGATATGGTACTTTGATGCTCATATGCATGCGCCGTCAACATTCAACGACGACAGCCGTAATAACAATCTTCCCATAGCAATTATTTCGAGGTGGAGAAGAAGGGTGGGAAGGAGATGAAGGAGAAGAGCGAAAGCGGGGGTGGAGGGTATGTGAGAGCAGATCAGATAGATCTCAAGAGCTTGGACGAGCAGCTTCAGAGGCATCTGACGAGAGCATGGGCGATGGAAAAGAACAAGAAGAAGAAAGAAGAGGAGGAGAGTGCAGGGAGGTCTACCCGAACGAGGCCGGAATGGGAGATTGACCCTTCCAAGCTCATCGTCAAGAGCGTCATTGCTCGCGGCACTTTTGGCTCCGTTCACCGCGGCATTTATGATGGACAAGATGTTGCAGGTACCCCCTCTGCTTCTTCCTTGTCTATTTCCAATTTCAAGTTTTTGTTAAAAAAATAGTGATGACCGGCGTTATCGGTACCTTTCACTTCCGCTTATTTGTTAATTATACGACATTTGCTTATTGGCTATTGCAAGAAGCAATTATGTTTGCTTTGAGATGACCATGTTCTGAGTGTTTTCAGTTGACCTTTCTGCATAATGTGTAGGTGTAGTTAACTTCTTAGTCTCTTCTTCCATGTCAATGTCTATATTCCAGAGGCATGTTAAAAGTGCAGAAATTTCTGATTCTTAACCGTCTTGGCTCCATATTTCTGCTAACAGTTTGTGCTTGCTCAATACTCCTCTGAGGTTTGCATGTATTGGAGGACACAAAGTCCATCTCTTACTTCCTTTTGCTTCCTTTAGTTGTTTAAGAAGCCATTTGAGCAATTGGGAATGCATGCAATGAAACTTTGTAGACCCAAAGTTACAATATCCGTGATTCACAAGATTGAGTGGGTGATTTTGCGTCTTTTTTTTTAAAAAAAAACTTTATCAGCACTCACAAGATAGAGTTGACTTGACAGTTCTATCCTTCAACTTTATCATTCGTCTTTTCCTTTTTGAACTTTCATGTGTTGTAGTTTACCACTACTATTATGAGTTGGTATGATGCTCGAAGATCTTTGGCAAAAAAAGGTATGATGGAGGATAAAATTTATACTATTGAGACCATTGGCTGGTTTTGACTGCAAAATTATACTGCCACGAAAAGTTACATTTCTGATTTGTCGAAATTTTTCAACTGAAACCATCCGCCAAATAAGTCTTCTTTTCCAAGAAAAGAAAAAACTAGGGTCATCATGGTCTGTGACTCTATGTGGAGCAATAGTTATTTTTGTGATCCCGATATGTTGAATTTGTTAACCCTTCAGCATTAACACTGCATTTCGAATAAATGAAAGATACGAGTAAGACATTATTACATAGGCTATCCAGATGACTTATATGGAGTAGTTTATACTTTCATTTTATACTCTCAGTGAAGCTCCTTGACTGGGGAGAAGAGGGCCATCGGTCAGAAGCAGAAATAGCTTCTCTGAGAGCAGCCTTTACGCAAGAAGTTGCCGTTTGGCACAAGCTTGACCATCCTAACGTAACAAAGGTATGTTTCTCAATTCTTCGTTCTTATCATACTTTTCTTCGATTCACAACAGAGTACATACACCATCCTGTTTCTTTACAGAAAGAAAAGTATTTCTTCACTATTTCTTTTTTTCTTTTTTGCTATACCATAGGTATCCTCTTATTAGAGGCAATTCTATTAGAGGCACTATTTCTATTGCTAACGCACCTCTATTTTCAATTGTTATATTTATTTTCAGTTCATTGGAGCAACAATGGGCTCAGCAGATCTACATATACAAATGGAAAATGGTCATATGGGAATGCCAAGTAATATTTGCTGTGTTGTTGTTGAGTATTGTCCTGGGGGTGCCCTCAAGTCCTACCTCATCAAAAACAGGAGAAAGAAGCTGGCATTTAAAGTGGTTGTCCAACTGGCACTTGATCTTGCAAGAGGGTCCAAATCATACTCTAAATTTGTGTTTTCCAGCCTATTATCTTGGACTGTTGTCTGAGCTTGATTGTTTTGTTTTAACTTATAGGTTGAGCTATCTCCACTCACAGAAGATTGTCCACAGAGATGTCAAAACAGAAAACATGCTTTTAGACAAGTCACGAACCTTGAAAATAGCTGACTTTGGAGTAGCTCGTATTGAGGCTTCTAATCCTCATGACATGACGGGTGAAACTGGAACTCTTGGTTACATGGCTCCTGAGGTATATGAGAGACATAGGATGACCTTTTCATTGCTAGGCTATCAAAATCATCTATGCTTGTGTTTTTGTTACTTTAATATGTTCCCCAGAAGATTGCATCTCCAACCACTGAAATTTTAGAACCCTGAACTGGTGAAATCCTCGGAGCAAATCAAGTATCTAACCCTAGTCGTGTTTTTGTTTGTGAAGTCTTAGAAGGTTATGCATCTTCATAGAATTGATTCATTGATTTCAAATATCAATGTTGTACATGGTCAAAATTTGTGGTTAGCTAGCTCTCTGTAGATCCATGACCTTCAGCGTATATTCTGTTCTTAGTAATGATCAGCTCTTAATGGGCTTCGCATAACTTGTTTCATTTCAGATACTTCATCTAACGTCCATTAAACTTCTTGCTTTGGGCAGGTCCTAAACGGTAATCCATATAATAGAAAGTGTGATGTGTATAGTTTTGGTATATGCTTATGGGAGATATACTGCTGCGACATGCCATATCCTGACCTCAGCTTTTCAGAAGTGACATCAGCTGTTGTCCGTCAGGTATATGAAATGTCTTAGATGGCTCTAACGCTCAATTTATGAAAGATAAGCAGATAAAACTAATCATAAAAAAGTCGAATTTTGGGGTTTCACTTAAACAGGTTCTATTTAGATTTCTTTTTTTCATTGAGTAGATATAACAGGTGAAACTGTAAGTGGGATACAAATTTTTGGGCGTGTTAACAATGTTTGGAATATTTGTGGGAATACAGAATCTGAGGCCAGATTTACCTCGATGTTGCCCGAGCTCGCTGGCAAATGTAATGAAGAGATGCTGGGATGCGAATCCTGACAAGCGACCGGAGATGGACGAGGTGGTGACGATGTTGGAAGCCATAGACACTTCAAAGGGTGGAGGTATGATCCCTCATGATGAGCCCCAAGGTTGTCTTTGTTTCCGAAGATATCGGGGACCTTGAAACTTCAAAAATTTTAGCAATATGGAGGCTCAATTCGTATTTCTTTAACTGAAATGATACATAGGGATGTGAGAATCAAAGATGAAATGCACAGAAAAAGTTATGAAGAGTTCTGCAATATGTAGTTACACTGTTGGGCTGTGATTTTTGTAAAGCTAACTATGCTCATCCTCATTTCACCCCATTTGTGTAAGTCATACTTCGACTGTGTTAGCCGACGCGTCATTTCATGTCCTATGAGCTTGCAAGTGATCTGTTTTAGCTCAAGTTTGCTTCTCAGCTCACTCTTATAAATGCATCAATTCTCTATTTCCTAATTTAAGGTTAACATAAGACCACCAAATTCTGGTGATCACAAGTGAAGATTTACCATGCCAGCAGGGAAACTTGTTTTTTCAACTCACTAATTCACTAGCAATTACTCCCTTTATAAAATATCAAAATTATCTTTCATAAAAGTCGTTAGTTAGAGAAGTTTGATTAATAATTAAAAAGTTTTATATTTTAACAGAGATAGGTGAGAAAAAAAATTAATACTTTAAATAGAATATGTTATATTATGAAAAATGCCAGAGAGATCTTCTAATAAGGATGAGGTGAGCTAGTACCTAAACCACGCGATCTACCATTTGTTCCAGGGAAAATCACAAATTTATTTGGGAATTGATTCAATAGAAGTTACAAGCAGTGATACATATTGGCTACAATTCAGTCTTGAATAGAATATGCTCGCCCAGAACAAATGAATGTTAGGTTCTTGTACAAGGAATTCTAGGACAAAAGAAATAAGCTATGCAGAACATAACAGCAACGAATCATCGTAACCTATGCGGAATTGGGAAGCAAAGAGTAGAGAAAGATCCCTATCCAGCAATCTTGTAGCTTGGATTCACCAAATTGTCGAGGCCAGAGACGACTTGAATCGATTCTATGACATCACCAACCTTGAGATCTGCCAAGTAATCCTCATTCTCTGTCACATACCCAAATACCGCGTAACGACCGTCCAAAATATTGGCATTACTAGGAGTTAGCTCACTTTCTTTCAATAGCCAAAATACTTGGCTAGAGGCTGAGTTATTCTCAAATTCCTGTTCAACGCGAAAGTAGTTTCAGTAAAATGAAAAAAAAATTAGTAGTACATATAATCGATTAAGATTAATCAACATCACGTCTCAAAAATGAAATCCTCACATCTCTTGCCATTGCCATTGTTCCAAATGCATTAAAAGGAAGTTTCGTTTGAGCTTTATATAGACCAAGCTCCTGTGAAAACACATTATAATCAACATCAAAAAGGTTTAACTAAGGCTTAAATTGGCTCCCAAACACTTGAACATCAAACAAGAACAAATACACAAACAAGGGGCAGAGTTGCAGCTGACCTCTAGGGTTGCCCCATAAACAGGTGCCTTTTCTCCTACCACCATAATCTCTAGAGGTATGGTTCTTGTTTTCTCTGTACTTGGATCAATGAAACCCTCAGCAGGGCCTTCAGGGTCACCCGTTTGGACAACAAACCCATCCGCTGAACAAATTGAAAACATTTTAAGAAACTACATCTCGGTCAAAATGCAAATAAAAGTGGGGCAGCAAATAGTGAAAACATCCTATCTGTGGATCATTATTATTAAAAAAAAAAAAACTATACATTTTTCATAGTGGTATGTGATAATGCTTCCTTTACAAAATATAAATTACTGTCGACTTTGGCCATTGATTGGGAATATGAAAGCGTGATATGAATACCCACTGCCCACTCTTGTGCAAAGAGTAGAATCAGGGTACCGAGTATGTATCTTCTATTATTCTCTAACAAAGCTGGAGAAGGGGAATATAAAATATTCCCTGCAAAACTAGCAATACTTGAATGGAGATCAGGAGGAGCAAAATTTCATGGCTGATGTTATATTTATTACCTCTCTGGATTTCCATGCCATCATAAAAGTGTCTTTCTACCAAATCAAGAAAATTTCCAGCAGTAACAGGGGCATTATAACCATCAAGCACTATGTGGAAAACACATTCCTCCAGGTTTGGGTTGTCTTTAACCTTGACCTTCATATCCACAGCTGCTCTTCCTTTCAGTAAAGGCATATTTCCGTACTCCTCAGGCACTTCATACGGGAAACCATCGACCATATCTTCTTCAACACTGCAGAAACGTAATGCCCCAGGAACATCTCAGCTGCAGTCAATGAAAGGTTATATAAGAGAACAGTCTTCTTTCCTCCAGAATATTAATTTTCCAAGTCCTCCTCAACCTCCTATTTTTAGGAAAGGATACAGTTCTTGTTAACACCAGAAATCATGGTGATTTCCTCCACAGATATAAGGTACAACCTAATTCAAACAACTGAAGCAACCAAACCTTTCGAGAGAACGCTTTCTGAAAGTTCCCAGGAACAGATTAAGGAAAATGACGTGGTTTACCTGGTCAAAGTACGCTCATGTGAATCTAGTAAATCTTAACTTCTATTAAGAGTCCCATTCTAAAGTAACCAGATGATTGGACAACCATTTATAGCACAATCTATTATTGCAAAAAGAGAAATCCTGAGCCTTGACATAGTCAAAATATGGACTGATGTGCCTAACTCCCTGCTATTTCTCTTATAAGCACAAATAGGAATGACAGGAATTCGGTATCTTCATGCGGTTTACAAACCTAAATGTGGCTACTAAGATACTTACCCTCCAACATATTGAAGAAGCTCTTTCTGTTTCGGTGCAACCGCATCTCGATTCCTATCCTGTACAATCAATTCAAGCTCGTCCATACCAGCTTCCAGCTTATTAAGCAATTCAACTCCATGTTCTTTCTTTGACTCAGCTAATCCTGATACAATTAAAGTCTTCCCTTGCTTGAAAGCTCGAGATGCCTGTCTCACATTCTACATTTCACGCCAAAGTAACAGGCCCCTTAAACTTTATTGTTATGTGGAAAAAAGAACACAAATTGCATGGGCACTACACTAACCACAAAAAAGAATAAGAATCTCGATGACTTACTCTCTCGACAGAGTCAAGTGCCCTGACTCCAGCAACCTTTAGGCTGTCTGTAATATCTTCAAGAGGTTTTTGCACTTCTCGAATTGCTTTATTGTCTATAGGAAGAGCATATCTCAACAATGCTCCGGGGTCCTTTATTGGCGGTCCAGAGATCAACACAGACAGGTCTGGCAACACAGGGCTAGTTGCATGAGCATTGGTAGGCCAGCCCAAGGGAGGAACTCCCGTAACTAAACCAACTGCCAGTGCTATAGAAATTGCACAATGCTTTAAGGAAAATGGCCACCCGTTCTACTCCAAGGTACAGAAAAACAAGAGTTAAGGCTCCAATCGTACATTGCAATAATTTCAAATCTTTTCAAAGCAACAAGACCAGGATATAAATAAGGTAAATTTATTCTGCATACCAAGAAAGCAGCACAAACAGGGTTAAAGTTATTAATAGCAATGCACACGGTTCCCAATTGTTTAACACTAAGCAATTAATCGTAAGGGAAGATAATACGGATGCCATCAGCACCGTGCCACTAGATTTTTTTTTTTTTTTTGGGGCCTCATTACGGGCACTCGGGCACCACTAGTTTGCTAACACTTCTTTTTCAACCTGTAACTGAAACAATAGTTCCAGTTGAAAACATGACGCAAGATTTTTTTTTTTTTGGCCCATTGCATAACGCAAGATTTTAGATTGTATGCAGATTAATTTGATCCAAAACACGAATCTGTATCACCATTTAATATCGGGTCTTCAGATATTGATATGACTGGAACTCGCTTAGAAGATTATTACTTTATCTACTGTATTCCTGGTCTATGGAAGGCTTGTCTTTTCAGTTTCGCTATTCCCATTTTTGTAAAAATATATTGCAGATGAACACGTGATTAGAAGGTGAACTGTCTCCCAAAGATACATTCTAAGGCGGAACTAGACGCTGATGGGATGATATTCCACCTATCATTACTTCAACCTCACGTATTCATCCATGTCAAGATTAACGTTCGATTAAAAAGGGAATGCGGAGGGATCATGATGATCAAAATTCAGAATTTTTTGAGCCTTACATGTTTGTTCTGGAATTCTGTAGGTTGGGGATCTTGGTAAGAGCATCGAGTGCTGAAAGACCGAGGTCCGGCATCACCCAGTGAAAGTGGGTAGCGAAAGCGGCTAGAGAATGTGTATGGCTTAGCCAATCTGGCGGTAGCTGCGGAAGCACAGTAGTGGCAGGGAACAATGGCTGCCATAGAAATTACACCAAGATATCAGAGAACAAATTTCATGAGCGTTCACTATCGAAGACGAAGTAGTAGTGACTCCCAGTTTGAAAGATGAAATTGAAAACAAAGAGACAAAGAGCAGAAGCAATGGATAAGGTTTTAGTCAATTTGGGGTTTATATTTTGTAAGGGAAGGTCGCGGAAAGATTTCACCGATCATCCATTCATTCGTCAGGAATCGGATAAGATATGATGATGTGAGATATCTAAAGCTGATGTAATCGGAAATTGGAATTCCCAATTGGACCAACTGGAGAAGGGCAAAAAACGGAAAGAAAGGGGGGAAAAAACTTTGATGTGTTTGGCAAATGATATGGACCAGGCCTCCACCTTCAGGCTTCAGCCCGTCCAACCATCACCGTTGCCGAAAGCTAAAATAGCGAAGTTTTCCCTTTTTTTTCCTTTTAGGGACATCAGGTCAAATTTGATCATTTATCGTTTTTGTTTGTTTGTTTGTTTGTGCCGATGCTTGATTTTGACTTGACTTAATTCCAGTTTAATGGAGTACCCATAACCAACTTTGGTTAGGATTGTTTCCAAATCTAATCATCTCAGTAATAACTAGTTTAAAAAATTATTTAGTAAAATTTAACTATGTTCGCCTCACTTATAGTGCAATTAAAGTTGCCAAGCATGCACAATAGGTTTTGGCATTGAAAGTGTAAGATTACTTGGGCTGCAGTCATGATCTCCCAATTACAAGACGGGGAACATAACTTGCATAAATGCAATTACATTTCAGCCCTCACTCCAGTCATTTCCATATACATATCAAAGCAAGTTCCAGTTTTTTGGTCTCAAAAAATAAAAGGAAAGAGGCATGTATGGCCAAATCTAATATGTGATGCGAAGATATTGGTCAGGCTCTAGGTGCTCCATTTGCAGTAGGGAGCTGGATGTCAGTTGGTTTTTTAGAAGTATCATCGTCATCGTTGTCATTGGTATCTGGCTGGCAATTGCGATAAAAAGCGTATAGCATTAGCTGAACAAGACCGGAGATCGCTCCAAGACCATTACTAATCTGTAACATCATCCATAGTAGCAATTCATCATTAGGTCAATTATCAGAAGCTGATACTTAGCAGATAAGACTGAAATACAATGATAAATTATGTACCAGAACATAAAGATCGAAGGGGTGGATGAGAGCATAAATTGCCCAGCACAAACCATTGCAAAAGTTAGCAAACGAGAGCCAAAAGGGCATGTACTTCACACTCTTGGTCTTTATAACCTTGGCCATGATTGTGAGGGGCGAAATATACATCATAACATTGAACACATCACTCAGAATACCAACGATCAACGACCTTTTCTTTGTGCCATGCAACGCCAGCATCGTGATGAGAACTATAGCTGCGAAAAATATGGTCTCCACCAGAAGCCCAAGCACAACCTTCTTCTGAACAAATTGAGCAATGAAACAATGAACATTTCTCAACATATATAATTACCAAGCCAGTGACGAGTTTCATAAGGAAAGTGTAACCATATATTGACATAACAAGTATTTGCGTAAGTGGGATCAACTAATGTGAATACGAAAACGTAGCATTTCACCCAAAAAAAAATGTGGCGGTGCGTCAAATAGGTTGCCATTGGACACAGATCGATCAGCAGCCATATGCAGATAGAGTTATTTTAATTTTTACTTTTTTTTCAAATTAAAAGATGATAAAAAATATATGGTTTTACAAGTTTCCCTATATTAAATTTTTTTATTAGTTATACAGTACAGTTTAAATTCCTAGGTTAAACATATTTTTCCGCACGTAATTAGTTTTGTTTTGACAGCTAATAGTTTTTTATGACAATATATTTAATTATGCAGTTAGAGAATTCTGTAAGAGACCCAAATTTCTTGCCACCGTGAATATATTTACGGGTCTGATTACTGAATAAACATGACATATTTTGGCAAAAAAGAAAAAAGAGAGTAAACAACGCATCAGGTACTGTTCGTCTATGTCCTTTTAGTGTATCATGATGGGACAAAATGCTATAGCAGGCTAAAAGACGAAAGAGGATTTGCAAATCGCAATAGATTAATAATGGCACAAAAATTTTAGAAGTCATGACTCACGACAGCTGGTGCAAGACTATATGGCAGCTGCTGTAAATTTTTCAGCCACGGAGATAAGGTACATATATGCTAGTACTTCTCTTTGTTTTTTAAAATTAAATGAAAAAAAGAAATCGATCCATCATCTTATCATGCGATTAATAATTTCATATAATAAAACATAATTTTTAAATAATATTATTTTTTATTATTTTAATTTAAATATTTTATTAGGGCTCCCGCCAAAAAAAATTTGCGACGCCAAAAATATCTAAAAACATTTCAATGAAGGTATTCACGGTACCATCTACCCACTAAAGATGGGCACCAGCTTTTACCCAGCAGAGATAGGAACCAGTTTGTGGAAAGAAAGTAGGCAAGGTAATTTATAAAGAGTACTAATAAAAGAATCACGGGTTATTTATAGTGCCCACGACTCAACCTGATTCCTCTAGAGAAGAAAAAACTGATAAAAGGGAAGACAATGCACGTGTTTACGAATATATACCTAAATTCATGGGATTCTAGGTGAAGTTTTAACCATGAACGGAAGGAATATATCAGCAAGCAAAGCCCAAACGCCCTATTAATTCAATGAAGGAAATATTCTCGATTCAAACTTCGACGAGCACGTACGGATTTCTGCTCACTCCTATAATATTCCTTGGCCTATTGTGCTCTAGAGGATTCGTTGCCCGCATTTTTTTTATAATTTTAATCTTTTTATTAATCTCCTTCTTGCTTTCATCCCTCGCGGATATATCCTCCATAAAATGTGAGCATCGTGCAATTACAAGCCGTTTTGGCATGAAGAAAACTAATAAAAAGCGAATCTACTTAAAACACACACACACATACGTATCCTAATGAACCAATCAAAATATGACGTCAGGTCATTCAAGTGCATTAATTCAAGGAGGGAAAAACTAAACGTACCCGTCCTTTTTTGGTGGCAAATGTGTAGAAGATGGCGAGGTAGACGAGTTCGAATACAAGTCCAACACTGTTAATGGTAAGCACAAGAATGCTGTGGGGGTGCACAAAAGGCATTCCATAGAACACCCAAAAAGCACAGTTCAGCACCGTTGCTAGATAAGGGTCTGGCTTGAATTCTTCTACTGCCTTCTTCTCTATTATTCCAATGAAAGTGGGACTGAAAACAATTCAATAACTGATGAATATATACACAGCTGAAATAACTGTGTAAAGCCAATTTGACAGACAAAACTACTTGTATAATTTCTTTTTTTTTTTATTTGTTTCATCATGCATCATTTATTCATTGGTATTGCATTTGCATGCCTTCTCCTGGAGCCTCCACAGCTTAATTTATCGAACTCGAAGCTTCCGTATTTTTCAACGCCCCATTCATTAAATATGAATTTACGGCACTCACCTAATTCATGAATCCAGATGTTCTCAATTTCTAGAATTTTTTATCGAAGATTTTAGAATCAGAAAAAGGTGATCGATCCTGTATTCATATATTATTCAGAAAATGTGGTATTCATTGATTTATTGGCGATGTGAGCTCTTTCTCTAAAACTTCAACAATATTTCCAGCAATGCATAGCTTACAAGGCCAGTATTCAATTATGCATATGTACGCAAAACAAAGGAGGAAAACAAAAAAAGAAATGAAGAATGAAAGAACAAGAGGGGCGGGGGGAGGGAGGGAGGAGAGAAGGTTTACGCCGGTGAGAGGAACAAACCGAAGGAGATAACGTTTCCTGCAGAGAAAACCAACACAATATATCACAACACAGAAATCTCAAATAGTCTTTGCACAAACGTGAACACATGAAAATTTTCAATCATCGAGTTGAAATCGGAGTAGGCGGTTTTTTTTCCCAATACATCATCTCTATGCATCCCCAAAATTTAGGGTTCAAAGCAAGTAAAGTCATGCCTATCCGATGGCGCACAAAACCAGTACGCGACTCCCTCTTCTCAATGTCGAACAGAGAATTCGAGAGAAAATTATCTAACCTTCAGCATATTATCCAGTAACAGGGAAAAAATAATGGAACATTTATATTCAGGATTAAAGTCAGAGAAATTCGAGCAGCGGAAGACCAGTGAAATACGCAGATCGAAAGAGTTGATTGATCTGATATGACCAGCCCACAAACCTAAAATGCCAACGATGTTACGAGCTAATGCTGCTCTGGCCACCATCTTCAAGGCTGTGCTCGGGCAGAGAAGTTCTGCCAAATGCAACGGAGTGATCAGAGAGAAACGAATAGCAGAAAGAGTTTGAGCTTCGCAGCTTCACGTATCCGGTGCCTCGGCATTTATAGCAGAACGGGACGTAGCCATCCTTTAACTTTTTCTCATAAATGGAAGTCAATTATAAAAAAACTTGATTTCAATGCTTTGACTCGGTTCGCCGTATATTTAAAAAAATCTCCCCTTCACGCTGGAGTAATTTACATGAATTTCATGGATAAAAAATATATGAAATTACTTATATCTAAAATACCAAAAAAAAGGTTATCTTAAAACTTAAACTTAATTTACAATTTAATTTATAAATATATTCATTAATTTAAATAAAACTTTCAAGTATATATCCTTACTAAGTCATTTTTAAAAGGACTCATTTCAGTTTAAAAAAATCACAATTAAATACATTGTATATATGTTAAAAACATATAATTAAAAAATAAAAAAAGGATAAACTGTGTCAGGTAACAATGAACATCTAAGATAACAGTCACGGCCTAAAAAATCTCAATATTTTAATTTACATGAAAATATATTTTGTCTTCTGTTGAATTAAAAAGGACCGAAAATTAGGATGTGTTCCGTTGGGAAAAAGAAGAGGTGGGCGTTATAAGGATTTAGGATTAGGCAGTCATTTTTATTAATTCAAGCCGTCTCGCCTGCCAAAGAGCTTCTAGTGTATGAAAAACTTACGGTTTTTGAAAATAACAGCGCATGCAATAATGCACACTACTTCCTCCATTCTTTAATACAAGAATTAGTTTGTCAATTTGATTCTAAATATAAGATCTTAATCTATTTTGTCTCAAATATTTATTTATTTTGCCCTCAAACATACATGA